AATAATAATTAAATTGTTATTGAATAAGTAAGTACAAGGTTATAGGAATAAATTAATAGATTTTTGCATACTGTATAATTATTGTCTTTTATATAAAGAGGAATAAATGACTACACGATATTTATAAACGATGTATATGCATACATTTTTGCACGTACAATGCATAATTTCTTAAATTAAATACAAAAAAGCAAAAAGAAAAAAAAACATTTTACTAAGAAAATCAGACATGTTTCCTTGCCAATATTCTCACTAAAGTGGATTGGAATGATATATATTATAAAAGCGAATAAAATTTATTGACAACTTAATGAAATAATGCATTTAGATTGTTATTGTGTAAAATTTTTTAGAAAATGATAAGCATTTTTTTCCTCTTATATGTAACTTTGTTTATAATTCCTAATTTAATTTATAACGTTTTAATACCATTCATAATATAGCATATTTAATACGACGGTTCATTGACATTTTTGTAGAGTATATATGCAAGTGCGAATGTCATTAAAGTTCTACACAAAAAGCTTAGATAAAATTATTGTCTATATCACCTACTTGTTCACTATATCTATCATTTATAAGAGAGTATTATATATATATTTTATGAAGAGCAACAGGCACATGTTTGACTCACCTAGCAACAAGAAAAGAAAAACAATTTAAGAATAACATAATTCAATAAAACATAGAGCTTAATATACCCAAATATGTTACTTTCTGATATTCAGAGAACCCAATGTAGCAACAGATATACATTAAAAACAAGAACATCCAATTTCAATAAAAAACTAAAAAATGTGAAGACATATTTTAAAAATACAATGACAAAATTAATTGCTAACAACCAGTGAGTGTATCGCAACAATGTATAGATAAAAATGTTATTTTTCAATTTTTAATCAGTAAACTTATTACCTTTACAATTAATACGTGCCGCACGCGTAAAGACCTATATATTTTATACTGTCTTTATCACCTAAAACGACAGACAAGTGAATCAGACGTAGACGTATTTTAAAATAGGAAACAAAGATAAGTAACCATGACCTGTGTGAGTTATATAAACTATAGCGGATGTGCAAAAAAATGTTTTTTTTTTTAAATACAACCATTGAAGTAAAATTGTAAAGTATCTTAGGTGAATCTGTATTAAGCAGAAATTTCCTATTTCCTATTGCAAAAAAATAGAATGCAATTAATCACCAATACTTTGCATTATCACATATTAGTTACTTAAAATCTCTATTAATATAATGTAACTTTAACTTAAAGAGGGAGTTATTAAAAGAGGAAGAACTTTAAAGAACCACAGGGGATTCAAGTCACTAATTATTATTATTAATTATAATAAAATATAATGCAATAACTAATGCAAGGCAATATTAAAACTTTCAATATTTCAGATATAAGGAAAGCGCTTTAAATGCGTAATTTTAAACTTAGATGTAGATATAATCTGAGTACCCAAATAGTTATGATGTCAAAAAGATAGCGAACACATTAAAGATATCATAATAAACGCTGTTAGAAAGAGATAATAGTTGAAACATGGATTGATCATTACACTTCAGAGTCCAATCGAAAAACAACTAAAAGGGCAAACATCCAAAGAAAGCGATAAGATTTTAGTCACCATATTAATTTTACCTCGATTATTAATTTCGATTATATTATGTTATTTTTAATATTGAAAAATGAACCAAATGATCAAACCAATGTACCATAACACAACATGTGGATCATCACAATGCCAAAATTGAACAATGTTAATTCCATATCTACTGTGTCATCAAACTACCTGTCAGCGATTACTACTTGTTAGCTGAATACCTTTAGGAATGAAATTTGCCTCCAATAAAGAAGTAATTCCCGAATCTGAACCCTATTCCGTGTACCCAAAAAAAGCATCGAAATGTTAGAGAAGCTTTTAAAGAAAACTGTTATTGAATAAAATCGAAATTTGTCTTATAACTGCTCTTTTATTTACATCCTATAATAGTGTATTCATAATGTTAAGTAATGTATTTACACACGCATATAATATATATGTATATACTTTATAAGTACTCGTATATATTTTAAGTTCAATGGAATTACTATCATCTGTTAAATACTGTCTTGTTTTGGGTTAATAAGTAAACTTTAAAGACAGTTTCTAATAAATTTAACATTTGAATAATAAATTGAACTCGTATAAACTAAAAATGCAATAATTATAATGCAAAGTCAAGGTATGTAATAAATAAATATTTTATATTTATAAATTAATACTTCACAATACTTAATCTAAAGTATTAAAAAAACAATTATTACAAGATATATTAATATATTAACAATTAATTTAATCTAATTTAATAGAATTAATGTCGATTTAGGAGAGTGCCAAATATTTATTGTCAAGAAATGTTATTTGGAAATATATTACTTTACTACCAGACATAGCATGCAGTCATTTTTCAAAACTCAAAGTAAATAATAAATAGCTTTGAATACAAAATACAAAAACACAATATAGTTTTAAAATATCAACAACAATCAACAGTTGCACTTACAGTCCTATTAATAAAACTAACGACAATCTTAAGATGTAAAACTTTCACTGCAGATAATGATTTTAAAATAATATTTATATTTGTTTTATTTTTATTGCTGATAAGAATCGGTAGAGTTCTATGTACGCGGAACTATTAGATAGTCCGAGGTCATCAAAAAAATGAAATATATATAGAAATGACTAGCATTAATTTTTATTCAACGATATCGAATGAATTTTATTTATTTAATATAAAAATTCTTCTATTAATATAGATACAAAAAATTTAATTTTAATATCAATAATAAATTAATAAAGAGTTACCTTTAATAAAAAAAAAAGAAAAGTTTATGAAAAGTACATTTAAAAAATATATATGTACATATTTAAAATTTGTATGTCTTTGTATATTGGACGAAGTCAACTGTACAAAGTTCAATCCGTTTTTGTTCGTCATAATTACAGTTGCAAATTAAAATATTTAAATAGTTTTTCCCATATACCACAATTATATAGATTTACGTTAATAAGTGGAATTTTTACTCTCCACAAAACAAAATTACTATTCAACACATGCTATTATTATTTGTGACTATAAAGATATATACTGCATAATAATGACACAATTAGACCTTAAAAACAACCAGAGAGTTGTTTACAAACTAATACAAAATAATAATGTCCGTCATACGAACTTATTTAGAGGCACTCATTGAAGCGCCATTAATATCAACATTTATTAATTCCACACAAAAAAATTTTTACTGGATCGAAGGCAAGGTTTCCAAAGGCTGCACGGGAGGAGTTTCAAATTTATATACTTTAAATAATATAAATATAAATATTAACTATTAAAAATAAATATTAAATATACCCTAAAGACCATTAAGAGACCTCTACTTTCTGCAACTTGCTAATAACCGATGGAAAGCACTTAAGTCATGTGCAGCTTCCCGGTTAACATGGTCCACCTATAATAAAAATAGATTCTCGGAACTCATTAAAAGAGACCGCGTGAACACTGCAAGGCTTACTACAATTCTTTCTGGTCATGAGAAACTGCGCGTTCCCCATAACGCTCACTGCAGAAGTTGTGGAAACTCGCAGAAGAAAGAAACCATAATACATTTTCTATGTGAATGCCCGGCTTTGGCGTCCAGAAGTTATAGGTTCTTAGGAAGATACTTCTTTGATAGTTTATCAGACTGTTTATCGGTGAAGACGAAAGACCTACTAAAATATCTAAATTCGGCGGGTTGGAATTAGTCTCTACTCTTTAATACTAGGGTTCTTGAGAGGAATGTGGTAGCAAAACGGTGAAAAATCGCTAATTGAGGTACATGGAAGTTATCCAATGGCCTGTCACTGCAATCAACCAACCATAAATATATAAATATACTTTATATACTTCATCAAAATAATTTGGTGTGAGTCAACAAAATGAAAGATCCATACTTAACATATAAGTTCGGTTAGGTACATTTACCGGAAGGCGCGCAAAGTAACATCGATACCGGATTGAATTTAATGTTTTAAATTGGATTAAAGTGATTATTGAATCATCAAATGCCAAACAATTTTACTAATATCAAAACATCAGCATTGGTCGTACTTTTTCTCATTAAAGTAGTGCATGAGAAGGGTATCTGCACTGAAATTTTTTATCAGTAATAATGTTTATACAGAGGTTTGAAACCTCTTCTTATTTAAAAATAAATGTAACCGGATGAACGCGTATCTACAAAATATCATTGGTTAGTAAGTAAAATAGTAGAAATATTTTTATTGTACCAAAGAATCTATAGTACAAAGAAGTGCCACGCTCATACAAACGAAATACCCACTTTATTTTGCTGGTGGATTTATAATAAATCCACCCAACCTCATGCAACAATGTTCGATCGAGTCACAACTGGTATGATGTTCAGTTCAAACCTATATGTGAGTCGAGTAAGGCTGACAAAAACCTGACTGCATACGTATTCAATCATACATGCAACCCTCTGTATTACATTATATGCATGTTTGTATGTTTGTTCGCTGTAAAATGTTCAAGCGATCAAACAGCATTTCAGTGACGAAGTCAAAATTGTATACATTTGATAAGTTTTTGAATTTAATAGTATAAAACAAAAACAAAATTCCCTGTTTGCTATTGGTATGAATGTAGTGTTAAAATACATTACAAATTTATTTATGTCTCACATCTGATTTCTTCAATTCTATGAAGCTTTATTCTTAAATATTGTTCATGCGCAATATTTCCGAAGCAATATCGTAATCACCAATTTTAACATTTCAATCCGGTGTAAATAGCATTCATGCGTTTCCTTAAACCAGGAGGCATTA